AAGGAGACGGGAGTGCATGCCACGGAGGTGCTGCACGGAGGGGTGACCAAGGCGGTGGTGCCAAAGGAGCGTCTGGTGCGACAGGGCGCGACACGAGCAGGGGGCTGCTAGCTGACCTGACGCAGACGCGGACGCAGCTACCTGAGGAGGCTCAGTAGTCAGTGTGTACAGACTCGACCCAGGCCGATGGGTGAACGTGGCCAGGTGACGGCCCGTCCGGGAGCACGTACAGATCGCCACACGCTGCCCTCCTGGAGTAAAGGTGTCAACCCATACATCCTGAAGAGCGGCTTTGCTCACCAAGTTCGTCGAGAACGTGGGGAGGTGGAGACCTGACAGTGAGCCAGACGGAACCGCCGGACACGGGAGAACAGTGGTGGAACGTGCAAGAACTGGGCCCCCTGAGGGGTCAGCCAGAGAGACAGCAACAGGTGCAGGAAGCGGTGTGAGTGTGGTACTGTCGCGAAAGAAACAGGGGGAAGCACCTGAGTCAAGCGTGAAAGTGAGCAAGACCGCAGCAGTGGCAGTACCAGGGAGCGCAGACTCACTAGCACCTAGAGCAGCAGCCTCTATACCTGGGTCGGGTGGCATACACAGGTAACAGTCACCCTCAGCACTAACAATCAATGCATACATGACAGCAAGGATAGCATCATAATCAAGAGCAAAGATATCCACACCCTGCCTAAGCAGCTCTGCCCAGCGGGGGAGCTCAGTCGCGTCGGGAAACTCTGCGCGAAAGGCGTTGTTAAGACGGGAGAAGCAGCGGGACTGGGTGTGACCAAGCTTCCCGCATGTCTGACCAGTGCGGTCACCTGTGCGAATGACGTACTGGCAGCGAACACTACCCCCAGACGCCCCACGCTGAGCAAACCACTCACGAAGCTCCTGGGGCGTAGGGGTCTTACGCTGACGCTGCTGCTGCTGCCTCTGACCACCGCCAGAACCTCCCCTCTGACCGGTACCACCCCGGCTGCCACCACTGCCGCCGCCACCACTCCCACTGCCGCTACCACTGCCGCCGCCACCACTCCCACTGCCGCCGCCACCGTCGCCACCAAAGCCTCCACTCCCACCACCACTCCCTCCGCCACCACCGCCACCTCCACCGCCTCCACCGCCCCCACCACCGCCTCCACCGCTGCCACCCCCACCACAGACGCAGCTCCTACCTCCTCAGCACGAAGATAGTCAACAGCTGCAGCAGAAGCGACTGAGGGGACAAGGGGGGAGGGGGAACACCCCTCAAAGAAGGGAGTGCGAGGAGTGCCACGAGAAGCGCCTACAGCGACTATGCTGGTCTCAACTGCAAGGAGGTGCTTCTCGAGCAGGTCGACAGTGAGGTCTGTGGGGTCAAGGGCGAGAAGGAGGTCCCTGACTGCGCTAAGAGAGTCAGGAAGGTGGGTGACGATGAAGTAGAGAGCGATGTACATGGGAGGGGGGTTCTTGGCGAGGAACTCGGTAGGAAGCGCGGCGCGGTAGCGAGTGTCACTAGTGCGAAGGTGAGTGACGAGGTCGGCAACTGTGGCAAAGGCGGACAGCTCGGGAAAAAGGTAGGGCAGTAGAAGTCGGCCTAGAGCAGCAGTGGCCGGGGAGGAGTAACGAGCGACTACAGCGTCGTACAGGGCTCTAGCAGTCTTGTGCTGGCCAAAGTGAGCGCGTTCGGCTAACGGCAGGTGGCTGCGAACGGCTAGGCGAGCAGCTGCGTCACGGGTAAGCCACTATGAGCGAGTCGCACTGTCAGCTGTGTTGGGAGGGGCGAGAGAGGCTCCAGACGTGAGGTCAAACAACGAAACGCCGTCTCTAGAATCGCTCAGTAGGTACAGCTGCAGGTCATCTAGCCACGCATCGAACTCGATTGGACGGCCCTCAGGATCGAACGTGAGGACGCTGAGAGTAGCCATTGTGGGCAGAGCAGAGTGGCGCGCGCGCAGCAGGGCAGCACGCAAGCAAGAACGGCGTAACAGGCAGAGCGGCGCGGCGCACGGCTAGGGCAGGGCGGCGCAACCAGCAGGGCAGGGCGGCGGCCAGCAGGGCAGGGTAGGGTGGCGGCCAGCAGGGCGGCACGCGGGCAGGGCAGGGCAGGGCGGCGGCCAGCAGGGCAGGGCGGCGCGCGTGCAGGGCAGGGTGGCGCGGCGGCGAGCAGCACGCGGGCAGGGCAGGGCGGCGCGGCGGCAAGCGGCGCGCGGGCTGGGCAGGGCGACGCGGCGGCGAGCGGCGCGCGGGCAGGGCAAGGCGGCGCGGCGGCGAGCGGCGCGCGGGCAGGGCAGGGCGGCGCAGCAGCGAGCGGCGTGCGGGCAGGGCAGGGCGGCGCGGCGTTGCGACGCGGGGCAGGGCACGCGCGGCGGCGAGCGGCGCGTGGGCAGGGCAGGGCAGGGCGTGCGCGGGCGGCGCGATGCAGGGCAGGGCGTGCGCGGGCGGCTCGACGCGGGGCAGGGCGCGCGCGGCGCTAGCAGGGCGGCGCGACGGGCAGGGCAGGGCAGCGCGAGGCCAGCAGGGCGGCTCGACAGGTGGGGTAGCGCGACACGGGCAGCGAGCTATACGGTGGGCCCTAAAAAAACGGTCCTAGGAGAGGACCTGCGTTGAAACCATGTCAGAATACTAAGCGAGAAATGAATGCATTGAACAGAAATGTGGTACAAGTACTAACCCTAATTGGGTTGTACCCCATATGGGCTACCCGCCTACACAACACACACAAGATAATAGTTTGACAGTCTTGCAAGGGATTCGCTGGCGGTAACTCGGCATCCTGAATTTGGTGCGTGATGCTGTTGAAGTTGTGGCCTTCGCGAGTTGTATAATCAAGATCGAATTGTGAAACATGTATGGATGTTGGCGTTTGGAGCGGGCTTGTAAGGGGGATGTTTGGATAATGTATGTTGCTCCGAACATCCGCTGCATCGTCCGCCACGTCAGCTTCGTCTTGTGTTGTGGCGAAGTTGTGGTGTCCTGCGAAGACAGTTTCCGGTGCCTCGCCAGCTTTGCGATGCTGCTTGTACGGTGGAAGCGTCAGGTTCTCATAGAAGATATAATCACGTGATTTCGTCACTTCGTGTGTCGCGTAGTCGAGCACGATCCAAGCCTTAAACTCCTTTGAAATTCCGAGGTGAATGCCCCAGCGTGCCCGGTCACTATAATTTTCGGTTCGCGCCGTGTGGAGCGTGTACTATACCATGCAGCCGATAACTCGGAGGATTCGCCTGTCAGCTTTTCTGCCCATCCATGAATTGTAAGGTGAAGTGTTGTCCTTTAGGCTGTGGGATGACAACAGATTGTGTAGCCAAACATCATGGTTCATCACAAACGGCCAGAACGTAGTTGGGATGGCAGACTGCTTCATGAGGGCTCTCATCCTCGTGGCGAGGCTCCTATTTGTCCTTTCTGCTACTCCCTGCTGCTCGTGTGCGTATGGCAGGGACACAAGGTGCTTAATCCCTTTCTTGGAAAAGAGTTCATTGAACTTGTTGGAGAAGTACTCCATCCCTCCATCCGTCTGGGAGCTTTTTAACTCAGTCCTGATTGTCACTCGGCGCGTTTCATCCAGGTCACAAAGCATTCGAAGGCGCGTGAACGGTAGTCGATATTGACGGCCCAGACGTAACGCGTGCTGGCGTCGATGAACGTCATGGTGTTATACTCGCCGTCGAGCCCTTCTTGGCTTAGAATCATGAAGTCGCTATAGACCCTTTCGAGCGGCTCGTAGCCTGGAGGTAAGTCGGGGAAAGGCCTGTGAGTGAGCGATGAGGTCGGGCAGATAGTGCATGGTGGGTCTACTGATGTAACCTTGAGTGTGTCACCGCCAGGAAGGAGCAGTCCGCTTGTGTCAAAGACTTCGGCGGCGATTGAGTGTAGCGTGTGAGGGATGTCCGAGTCGTTGGTGCCAGATGTCGGGAGTGGCACGGTAGCCGACCGTCCGTTTATGATATCTGTTTCTCTTATCTTCCTTTTGCTGTGGTGTCGTAGGTCCCGTGTCGGCAGCAGCTCGTACGTCTGCTGCAAAAGCTTGGGTGGACGCTTGTTTGAGATTGGCCTTGGGGCCCGACGACGTCATTCGTATCAGCGACGTGAACCGAGTCGTCAATTACTGGAAGCAGTTGGTGGGGCGATGTTGCGTCTGGCCACTCAGAGGCGGGGAGTCCCTCCATCGGAATCCGGTGGTAAAGATGTTCGTCGCTGGTGACTGAGATCAGCTGTGGTCCTTCTTCTGGCGGTGGCGGCTCCTCGGTAGGTACAGGTAGTTCTGCTGCTTCCCCGAAGTCGTACACCATGTCTTCGGACTCTTCTTCTTCTTCTTCTTCCTGTGTTGGTTCGTAGGGGTATTGGCCCGGGAGAGGAGGTCCACCCCAGCTGATGCCACTTGTCGCCCAGTATGGGTCTACTTCTGCGACAACTTCGGGAGGAAGTCTTAGAGCTTTGGGATAGGGACCTGGTTGTCCCCAACCGCCTTGAGAAGTGGATGTTCCCCATCCGCTTTCGCCAGGAACTCCTGGCGGAAGCGTTGGCGGGCCCCAACCGCCTGAAGTTTCTGGCGGGGCTTCGACTTGTCCCCACGCGCCTACCGTGATATTAGTGCCCCATCCAGTGGCGGCTGGGGTTCCTGTGGTTCCCCAACCTCCGGTGTTGATTTGTGTTGGCGTTGCTCCCTCTCCTGACGCTCCGCTGTCTGCTTCTTCTTCCTCCATTGATGCAGGTCTGGTATCGCCAGGAGCAGAGGTTGAAGTGGTTGGGACGGCGCGGGTGTGACGCCTGGTCTGTCATCTGGGCTGGGCCGGGTGCGACGCCGGCGGAGGTTGAAGTGGTTGCCGGTGATGGCGGTGGTGAAGAGTAGGTTATGCACCCGTACGGCGTGGTGCATCGCGTATGGGCAGTAGATGGCGGGGAGCTTCGACTGCTTCATTAACGCGCTCACCTTCGTCATGGGCGTGCGATTGGTGCGCTCAGCGACTCCCCCTGCGGATGCGTGTTGGAGTAGGCTAGAGCTCGCTCTGGCATTTATCATGGTGTTCTTTTGTTATTTCGCCATGTTTAGAGTGAGTTACACTTTAGGTTCAGTTTAGGTTCATTTCTTGGTTTCTAGCACAAACTGAACACACCCTAAGTTCAATTGGGGTTTCTTACAATTGTATCTCGACACTTTGTTAGTGCAACTTTTTCCTCTTGTCAACTTCCCTCTTGGCAGCCATGGCTCTTTTCAAGCTATTCTTAACATGGTATCTAGAGCTAGATCCTAGGCGTTTCTTTTCACTTTACATCTCTTAGTAGTTTTCGGCTAGAAGCTTATTCCGTATGACTAGTTAGCCAGCCGATTTCTACTCTTTTCTTTTTTTGTTTTTTAATCCATTCTCTTAGTCACGATTTCGTACTTCCTAGCCACGGATCTGCCCTAAGCACACACGCGCCGCCCTCTTACCATCGTCGCGCGCGCCCTGCCCCGTCCCGTTGCGCTCGCGCGCCTTGCTCGCCGTCGTCGCGCGCTCGCGCCCTGCTCGCCGTCTTCGTGCGCGTGCGCCTGCTCCCCGTCGTTGCGCGCGCGCGCCTGCTCCCCGTCGTTGCGCGCGCGCCCTTTGCCCTCCGCTGTCGCGCGCGCGCCCTGCCCACCGCCACTCAGCCTCACCTTCTCGCGGCCGTTCTCCCTTCCCCTCCTCGTGGGCGCCTTCCCCTCCCCTCATGGCGCCTTCCCCCCCCCTCGATCCCCCCCTTCACCCTCCTCCTCCTCCTCCTCCTTTGCCTCTTTCGCGCCACCTCCGCCTTCTCCGCCCACCCTTTCTGCCTCTTCATCCTCCTCCTCCTCTCTTCTCTCTTACCTCCTCTTCTTCCCTCTCCTCCCTTCCTCCACCTCCTTTCCTCCCGCATGTGCTGCAGCTGGCTGCTGGCTGTTGGTTACCATTACGTGCCCGCGCTCCTACATCCTCCCCTCGCTCCGCCCCTTCACCCTCCTCCACCTCTCTTCTCTCCCTATATTTCCCCCACCATTTCACCTCTTCCTCCGCCTCTCTCCTCTCCTTATCTGCTGCAGTTGGTAGTGGATTATGTATTGCCACCATTTTTTCTGCCACACCTTTCTTCCGCCTCTAATTTCTCCCCCCAGCGGCGCAGCAGCAGACTACTCCTTCAGTATTCCTCCGCCCCTAATTTCTCCCCTCAGCGGCGCAGCAGCACACTACTCCGCCATTATTCCTCCGCCTCTTATTTCTCCCCCCAGCGGCGCAGCAGCAGACTACTCCGTCATTATTCCTCCGCCTCTTATTTCTCCCCCCAGCGGCGCAGCAACAGACTACTCCGCCATTATTCCTCCGCCTCTTATTTCTCCCCCCAGCGGCGCAGCAGCAGCCTACTCCGCCATTATTCCTCCGCCTCTTATTTCTCCCCCCAGCGGCGCAGCAGCAGACTACTCCGCCATTATTCCTCCGCCTCTAATTTCTCCCCACATCTGCTCCGTTGCTCTCTCCTCCCCCTGGTGGCGCCTATTCCCATCCTTCCCCCTGCCTTCTCTGCCCTCTTCTTCATCTGTTGCCCCTTCCTCCCCTCACACCACCTTTCCTACTTGCCGCTGGACTCTCCCCTTTTGCCACCCCCCTGCTTGGCTTTCGCTGTCTCATCAGCGTCGCCACCCTTCTGCCCTGGCCGTGCTTGCCACTTCGACCTCTGGTACTGGCTCTCTTACCTCTGCTCTCAGCGTGACCATACCGTCTCAGGATAGCATTCTTGGTGCTTCTCCTCTCATGGACCCTCGATTTGTTGTCTCTTTTCCTCCTCTTCTTCATAGCACTGTTTCTCAGTCTCCTAGCCCTACGGCTGCTGCTCTCTCTCTTCCTTGCACCTTAGATTTCGTCCTTGACAGTGGTGCTACGGACCCTGTCTTTCGTGATGCTGGTGTTCTTCGCTCCTTTCCCCATCCCCTCTCCATTCAAGGGGCTGGGGATACCAGAACCATAATTTGCACTGCTGCCTCTTCTCTTCACTGTCCTGCCTCCCCCTCTGGCACTGTAACTGGCCTCTATGTTCCCTCCTGCAGACATAACCTCCTTTCTCTCTCCTACAGAGACCCCAAATTCACGAGTAAGTTCTGGAAGGAGCTCATGGGACTGTTGGGGACTAAGCTTGCAATGTCTTTAGCATACCACCCCCATACTGATGGACAGACAGAGCGACTCAATCAAGTGGTTGAACAGTTACTGCGCACAGCTTGCAAAGACGACGTCAGCCACTGGGACACACAGTTACCGACCCTAGAGTTCGCTTACAACAACGCCTCACATGCGGCCACAGGGAAAACTCCTTTCTTCCTGTGTTACGGACGGGAACCACTTACACCACAGCAGCCAACCACACCGGCACACGTCCAAGCCGCACATGACTTCGTCACCACCATGCAGCAGCTATGGGAGAAGACGCAGCGACGTCTCACCACGATGCAGAACTCCCAGAAGCAGTATGCCGATCGCCAGCGACGTGATCATACAGTAGCAGTCGGAGATCAGGTGCTTCTTGACACGCGCAACTTGAACCTGTCTCACCTCCCATCCAAACTCCGGCCTCGCTTCTGTGGTCCTTTTCTCGTTGAGGCACAGGTGACACCTGTTACATTCCGCTTGCGCTTACCAGATACGTGGAAGCTTCACAGCGCTTTCCATGTTCAGCTACTGTAGCCCTACAAGGACCCCAACCAACAGTTCCAGGGACGCCAGCTACCGCCACCACCACCTGTTCTCATACAGGATGAACCCGAGTACGAAGTGGAGCGCGTTCTCACTCATCGGCACCGCGGCGGCAAGACCCTCGAGTTCCTGATCCGCTGGAAGGGATACGACCCCACTGAGGACAGTTGGGTTGCAAAAGCTGATATGGGCAACGCACGCCGTGCTCTCAAGGACTATCTTGTCAAGCAGGGTGTTTCTCACGCCACCCAGCTTTGAGGGGGGGACGTGTGAGAGTACGACGGCTTATGCTGGCTTTGCTCACTTGCCTATACTTTATTACGCTATATCTAGCTTGGGTTTTATTTATCATGCATAGATATGCTTGATTTCCTAGGTTAGGTGCATTCCTATATTTTATTATAGTTATAGCACCGAACCAGGTTACGTGTACCGGACTCAAGCCTATTCGATTTCCACCGAATTGCTTTCCACTGAGTTCGGGAAGGTTCTGTTCGGGACGCTTCGCGACCCTCAGAACATTCGCGTAACACCTGGGTAACTGGCCTTGTGTCGAGACTATATATAGCCTCGTGTTGTACCCAGGTGAATCATTCAATTACAATTCTCTTTTCTGAGCTCGATCCTAGATCCTTACAGCAGGTCTAGAGTGGTGGGGAGCGGCCAAGAGCGTGTGGGTGGGGTTGGAGGGAGGTTTCTCGCAGTGGTAGGTACAGGATGGGGCGCGAGATACAGGGTGCGGCGGCGGGTACAGGGTGGGGCGGCAGGTACAGGGTGGGGCGGCGGGTACAGGGTGGGGCGGCGGGTACAGGGTGGGGCGGCGGGTACATGGTGGGGCGGCAGGTACAAGGTGAGGCGGCCGGTACAAGGTGGGGCGGCCGGTACAGGGTGGGGCGGCGGGTACAGGGTGAGGCGGTGGGCTCAGGGGACGGGGAGGCGACGGGATACGGGTGGGCTGACTGGAACGGGTGGGGCAGCGGGACCTGGTGAGGCAGTGGGAAAGGGGGGGGTTGCGGCGGCTGACAGTGAGATGGCGGGGAAAGCGGGTGGGGCGGCAGCGGGCTGCATGGGCTGCTACGCGTGCGTTTGAGCGTGCAGCTGCGCGTGTTGCTACGCAGGCTGTCGCGCGCGGCAGCACGTGCGGCACTGCGTGCGGATGCGCGAGCGTCTGTGTGAGTGGCACGACGGGGGGGGGGGGGGGGGGGGGGGGGGGGGGGGTGGGGGGGGACAGGCAGAGCGCGAACGGGTCGCTAAGATGAGGGCGTGGCACTACGGGTTACTAAGTGACGGGGCTACGGGCTAGGGCGGGGTACGGGGCGGCGGGCCCATCAAATCGGTTTCTAGCTCTATACCATGTCAACGTGGTAACTTACTAGGCTTGAGAAAGACTTCACTAGAAATGACAAGTACAACCCTAAATATAGCAAACCCTAATCATGAAGGGAAAGACAAATGAAACACCTAGACTAAACCACACAGCACATGTAAAATATATGTTGACAACGGAAGATGAGACGGCTACGCAAAGATGGAGTTATGTCAGAATTATATTCTTATACCTGCATGTAGTTCTAGCTGTAGTGTAGATATTAACTTTATAGGTGGTGCACCTCTTTTTTTGCTATATGTACCCTAGTGCTATAGTGAACATTCATTCTCCTCTCATCTCTCGACTCTCCCTCCTTGGCACAAACTAGCTCGACCCCCCTTTGGCCTAGGCTACTAAGCCTAGGCCCACTTAAACCTACCTACCTTCTCCTACTATTTCGACATGCTATCAGACCCTGTTAAGTCCTGGCCTGTGGGCCAGCCTCTCGCTTCCGCTGCTGTTTTTCCGGTCGCGCGCCTCGGGCGCGTGGCGATTTTCGTTCTGTCCCGCGCCCGGGTGGCGCGTGACGTTTTTTCTGCCCGTCGCGGACCCGCCCCTGGCGCCCGCGACGGCGCCCTGAGCCGCCGCGGACCCGCCCCTGGCGCCCGCGACGGTGCCCTGAGCCGCCGCGGACCCGCCCCTGACGCCCGCAACGGTGCCCTGAGCCGCCGCGGACCCGCCCCAGGCGCCCGCGACGGTGCCCTGAGCTGCCGCGGACCCGCCCCTGGCGCCCGCGACGGTGCCCTGAGCCGCCGCGGACCCGCCCCTGGCGCCCGTGCCGGTGCCCTGCGCCACCGCGGACCCGCCCCTGGCGCCCGCGACGGTGCCTGAGCCGCTGCGGACCCGCCTCTGGCGCCCGCGACGGCGCCTCTACCTCACCCCGCGCCTGCACTCACTGCAGCCGCCCCTGCCCTACAGCGCGCCGACCCTCTGTAGCCGCTCTGCGGCTTTATCCCCGCCCCCCCCGCCCCCCCCCCCCCCTTCGTCTCCCTGCAGCCGTGGGGGAGAGGGTCTAGGGGTGGCGGGGGTGGGGGTGATGGGTGGTGTGTTTCCCTTCCCCTCCTCCTCCTTTCGTTCCCACTGCTGCAGCTGCCGCTGGGGGGGAGGGTGTGAGGGTGTGGGGGAGCCAGGGGAGTGGCATTGGGGTGGCGGGTGTGAGACCAACCAGCCCCCGTCCCTCTGAGGTGGGGGGGGGGGGGGAGGAGAGTAAAGGGGTGGCAGGAGTGCCTGCCCCTTTGCTGCTGTACCTGCTCTGTTACCTTGCCTGCTGTTTGTTGTTTTCTCTGTCTGTGGTGTACCCCTGCAGGTTGTGTTCTGCACTTAGCTATTCCTGCATGCAGTTACGGGGGGATGTCAGAATTATATTCTTAGGTCGTATCTCCAGCAAGGGTCAAGAAGGGCTTGGTGTCAAGCGTTGTTAACGGTTGACACCAAGTGGAGCCGCGTGTGAGCGCGGCTCCAGCCTGGTGTCAATGTTGGGCACATTGAACGATTTCCCGCGATCACATTGGTTGGTTTAGCTGACACCAGGAGGGATAGTCCTCCATGTGTTTTCCGAGTTGGTGTCATGACACTAGCCGTTCTTGACACTTGCTGGAGATACGACCTTATACCTGCATGTAGTTCTAGCTGTAGTGTAGATATTAACTTTATAGGTGGTGCACCTCTTTGTTTGCTATATGTACCCTAGTGCTATAGTAAACATTCATTCTCCTCTCATCTCTCGACTCTCCCTCCTTGGCACAAACTAGCTCGACCCCCCTTTGGCCTAGGCTACTAAGCCTAGGCCCACTTAAACCTACCTACCTTCTCCTACTATTTCGACAAGTTATATGCAGCTGCCAAATATTGAGGTGCCCAAACGGTTCTTAGGGGACGTGAAAAGGGGTCCGTCACTGAAATACTACAACGTGCAACTAGAAAACTTGTAGGCGCGATGGGAGAACGACAGGTTGGACCCGGAGGAATTCTTCAAAGGATTGGCGAATACATTGGC